CAGGGCTGAATTCCTTAGCTTCCAGGAAGGGGATCTCCCCACAAAGGTCAGACACTTTCCTGCAACCTTGTCCCCCTCAGACACTCCTGGTTCTCCCTAGGAACTTATTCTGGAAAGCCAGAATTTGGGGCCCCGGCTCTGAGACCCAGTCCTTAGTGGCTTCCTGCCATTCTTTAACAGATCCCCCTCGCCAGTAAATCGGGGTCACACCCAACAAAGCAGTAGGAACCCTGTGCAGTGAGGAAGCTCCAGACTTGGAGGCGAGATAGAGATAGGAGTTCTGCCCCCAACTGTACCCATGGTCTGCTGAGTGGCACTGGTCAAGTCACGGCCTACTGCAAGCCAAAGTTCACTCACGGCTACAGTGAAAGCCTAGACTCTGCCCGACCCTGTGGAACTCGCCTCCTGAAGCCCTCTTCCCATCTTGTCCAGTGCTTTCCCCATCAGTAATACCAGTGCATTTCCCTCCCCCCTAAGCTGCCACCTCTGAGTTGTTGATCACCTATCCCCAAGCCCACTCCATAGTTTGACAGCAGACAAGGTCTGCAGGGGAGCGGTTGAGCCACCATCACTCATCCAAGGTCCTTGTGCCCTTCCCCCTCGGGCCTCTTGATCATTGGACTATTAACTGGGTCACCTTCCTATGTTCTGTACTCTCGTCTGTGTGTGTGTGTGTGTGTGTGTGTGTGTGTGTGTGTGTGTGAGTGCATGTGTGTGTGCGTGTGTGCATTGGTAGGCATGCATCCAGGACCTTTGTATACTAAGCGAGCCCTTGACCACTCATGTGCTGGACCCCTAGCTACCTCCTTTTGTATTCCCAGGAAGCTGACCAATAGGACACTCTTGGTTCCCCTCCCCTCCTGACTGTTTTCTGAGGACCCAGGACTGAGGGTGGAAGAAGGCAAAAAGCACGGTGGGGTACACCTCAGCTAGGCACGACTTGCTTCTCTAGGGCCCTGGCCCACCCAGGACTGCCATGACCCTTAATCTAGAGACTGGTGTCCTGTCAGGGTTTTGATACTCTGTCCCTCTCCCTGGCTCCTGGTTCAGATTTGTGACACAGACTATGTCCAGTACCCAAACTACTGTTCCTTCAAAAGTCAACAGTGCCTGATGAAAAGCCAGAACCGAAAGGTGAGCTCCTACCCGGTCCTTGCCCCTCAGTAGCCCCTTCGTGCTCCTGGGAGGGTCTGTTCTGAACCCTCTCTTCCAGGAGCTGGGTTGTGGAAACAGTTCCCTGTCAGTGTCTCTGAGGCAGAGACCTCCAGACAGCGCCTCCTCCTCTTCCTAGTCTGGAGGGAGCCAGGTCCTCTCAGGCAGGAGCAGGCAAGGGAAGCTAGCACAGATAAGAGGGCTGGGCCCAGGAGGACCCAGTGGGACGCCCTTGGCTGGCCTGAAGATGGGATGCTGAGTTTGTCTGGCCTCCCAGCCTCGCTCAGTAGGTAGCCCACAGTACTTACTTCCTCTCTGAGTCTAGGCCTCCTCTGTCTTAAAGGAGGGTGAACCATTGAAACCCCGTCTGCATCCCTTTCTGCCCTGTACCACCTGCCCTGGCTCTGACCGCTCCTCACGTCGTGCTCCCCTACGTACGTACGTACTCTACGTACGTACACGCCATCCTTTTGTAGGTGTTACGCATGAGATGTATGCTGAACGAGAACTACAACGTGCTGAGCCTGGCTAAAAGCGAGGAGATTATTCTTCGGTGGAACCAAGAATTTAACACTTTGGCGCTAGGCCACTTTGGATGAGCTGGGGTCTGTGCTGCCCCCACCCCAGCCCGACTTTTCCACTTCCTCCATTGCTTTTAGACCTCATCTGTCAGTAGGCTTCCAGGTGCCCCTCACAGGTCTCTTACCTGACTCCTATTCACCTTTTCCTTGGGTTGGGACAGCAGTTCCAGAGAGGTCCATGATGGGTGCTCCACGTGCCTTGAAGAATACCTTCGAATAAAGCATTTATCTTCAGCCCATGTGCTCTATTTAGTGTGGTCCCCACCCTCAGCACCGCCACCTCATCCCCCTAGGAATCCACCATCCACCTCCAGACTCCAGACTCCCTCCCATTGGGAGGGCTCCACCAAGAACGTCCTGGGGACAGCTCTGAGGAAGCATCCTGCACCAAGAGAAGCAGGGGGGGCCGAGAAGGTATGCTGGCCTTCATCTCTGAAGCTCTGGGCCCCACAAGCTCTCATGTGAATGTGGGATTCTCAAGACCGAAGCCTGAGATTGTATCAACCCCAGAAAGTGTGACTTATCTCGCACTTCCCTCTGTGTGGAGGGAGGAAACTGAAGCGACATACTGGAGCTCAGAAGCCACAAGCGTACAGGCTTTGCCAGATGGTCTCGATGATGAAGCACCTTGAAGCGTCGCTTAGGCACTGGCCTGGAAGAGTTTGGACACTCACAAAGCTGTACAGCTGGAGAAAGTACATGTACCGTCATTAGCGGCATTCTAGTTAACAGGAAACAGAACTTGGGGTTGGGGATGTAGCTCACTTGGCAGAGTGTTTGCCTAGCATGGACAAGGCCCTGGGTTCACTCGGGAGTGGTGGTACATGGGAAGTGGATCAGGGTCATACGTGGCTGCATAGTTTAAGGTCATCTTGGGCTACATGAGACCCTGTTTTCCTAAAGGGGTGATAATTGTGGGGGACTAGAGAGATTGCGTAGCAAATAAAAGCATTTGCTAACAGGCCTGGTGCCTTAAATTCAATCCCCAGAACCCATGTTAAGAGGTAGAAGAAGAGAGCCAACTCCACAGTGTTGACACAGGTACCATGGCATGATTGCACATTGCCTACACACACACACACACACACACACACACACACACACACACACACTACATCCACACCTTCATAATAAAAACATTCTCAAGTCAGGCAGTGGTGGCGCACACCTTTATTTCCAGTACTCAGGAGGCAGAGGCAGGCAGATCTCTGTGAGTCCGAGGTCAGCCTGGTCTACAAAGCGAGTTCCAGGACAGCCAGAGCTATATATCAGAGAGACCTTGTCTCAAAAAACCAGAACAACAAAATTAGAGGAAAGAAAAGAAGGCTCAATGGTTAAGGATACTTCCTGCTCTCACAGAAATCCCAGACTTGGTTCCCAGCACCCATGTCTGGTGACTCCAATTTCCAGAGGTCTAATGCTATCGTCCAACCTTCACAAACACCTGCATGTACCTTGCACACAGAGACACACTCAAGGATACACATATGTGAAAAATTATTTTTTATTTTAGTTAAAATTTAATTTCTCCCCTTCCTGCTCCTCTCTCCAATTCCTGCCATGTTATCTCCTCTCTCCCTCTCAAGTTAATGGTTTCTTCTTCTTTCACTGTTTCTCTGTCTCTCTCTGTCTCTCTCTGTCTCTCTCTCTGTCTCTCTCTCTCTCTCTCTCTCTCTCTCACACACACACACACACACACACATACACAATCTGCTGAGACCATTTAGTGTTGCTTGTGTATACATAGTTTCAGAGTTGACCATTTGGTATTGGTTAAGTTAATTAAGGGGTTCATCCCCAGGAAAGACTAATTCCCCCTCTCTCAGCCGTCATTAGCGGTCAGCAGTTCTTAGTCCAGAGGTGGGACTCCTGGCGGTCATTCCCCCTTCCACATTACCAGGTACTAGTGTTGTCATTGTTCAGATCTTGTTTAGGCAGCCATATTGCTGAGGTACCATGGGTGAAGTTTCCCTTTTCTAGGAGACATGTTCTCACATTGGACTTCCTGTTCCTCTGGTTCTTTCCACCCCTTTTCGGAGACGTTTCCTGAACCTTAGGTGCAGGAAGTGTATTGTCGGTGTATCCACTGGGGCTGGGCACCCCAGCATCAGTTCATCTTTGCGTTGTGACCAATTGTGGTTTTCTGAAGCATAAAATTTCTTTAAGAAAAAAAAAATCAAGAGATTGCCAGTCATGATGGTGCACACCTCTAACACCAGCACCCAGGAAGCAGAGGCAGGAGGATCTCTGTAAGTTCAAGGCCAGCCTGGTCTACAGAGTGAGTTCTAAGCTAGTTGGAGATACATAATGAAACCTGTCTCAAAAATAGAAAATTGAAATGTGCCCAAAATAGTAGATCTGGGTGTGGCTTAGTGGAAGAGCACCTGCTGACCTGCGTGGGCCATCCTGGATTCAATCCCCACAAAGGAAACCAGGCAATTAGAATAAGGCACCCCTTATGCACCCTCAGTCAGCTGGAGTGGTCAATCCATGGCTTCCCATTCAGCACAATTCTAATGCTGCATTTTGCCTAGTGCTTGCCAAACTCATGTAACCTTTTCCAGATACCTCCAAAAACACCGCCTTTGATTAGCAAAGGGCTATGCTCAGCCCAAAGATGCAGACAGGAACGACCCTAAGCTCCCTGCCTCCAGGAGCTCCCAGCCTGAGACAGCAGAGGGAGAGGAGGAAGCATCCAGACAGGCCACTGCTGATAGAGGAACTGGATGTGTGCTGGCACGGAGGGAGAACACTTGGCATGCCCGTGGGCCCTAGGCAGCGGAAGATACAACCACGAGCCACATGAAGTAAACCACCTACCTGACCCAAGAGAGGAAGAGACACAGGCAGGGAGGAGACAGGTGAGAGTAGCATGGGTGGGGGAGGGTATTAGTCATCAGGCAGCGGTGGTGGGTGTGCCACCTGGAGTTCCCGGAAACTGCAAGTCTGTGAGCCATAGTCGGGATGACTAGAGTTAGGGCTGGGCTTTCGGCAGCTCTTGGGACTCGCGTCTAGGACCCGTTTGCTGAGGTGTCTGTGGTCAAGGCTTTCTCCACTCTGCCTCTGTGGGTTTGGGTGAGTGCGCGGAGCTGGCAGGGATGGACTGAGATCTGTGGGGTGGGTGTGTCAGGCCCGCCCAGGAGCAGGTCCTACCGGCACAGCTCAGCCCAGCCCAGAGTGTCAGAGTGTCAGCGGAAGCAGTCTTGGGGCAGCGGCAGAGGAAGAGCGGCCGAGCACAGGTATGGGGGTGTGACATACCAGAAGTGGGGGACATTGGTGAGGATGGAGAATACGGGTGGGCTGCAGGCTTTGGGGGAACCCTTTTGGATAAGGTGAGAGGGCAAAAGGAGCTGGGCCCCCCCGCCCCCCGGGGGACAGATCTTTCCACAGGGGGCCTGAAGAGGCAGCCAACATGCCTGGCACACCCTAAGGCCTGAAGCCCCGCTGTGAACCACCTTAGGGTCCTCCCCTAAATCATTAGGCTCCTGTTTTCATGCTGACCCTGAGCTCCCTGAGAAGAGCTCTCTGAGATCTGCTCCCCTCATACCCACTCATCCTGCAGTACCGGGTCCTAACCTAGAAGACACTGAGCTGAACTGATTAAAGTTAGCTAAAGATCTGACCGGGAAAAACAGCCCTCCCCGGTCACCAAGGTGTGTTTTATTTGGTTATTTGGTGCCAGAATAGAATGACTATAAGCTAAGCACTTGCCCTACCACTGAGTGCTCCCCACCCCGCTTTTGAGATGTAGCCCAGGCTGGCCTCAAATTCTAAACGTAGCCAAGGAGGTCCTTGAACTCCTGATTCCTCTCCCTCTGGAGTCTGGGATTCCAGGCCTGAACCACCACAGCAGGTTTCTGCAAGTGCTGGGGTTGAACCCAGAGCATGCTAGGTAAACACTCCACCAACTGAGGAGCTGCATCCCTGCTCTCCTGACTGACCCTTTTGGGGAATGTAGTGTCATGCTTTCTTTTTGTCTGTGTGTTTGTTTTTTCAAGACAGGGTTTCTCTATGTAACAGTCCTAGCTGTCCTGCAACTAGCTCTTGTAGACCAGGCTGGCTTTGAACTAACAAAGATCTGCCTGCCTCTGCCGCCCAAGTGCTGGAATTAAAGGCATGTACCACCACCGCCCAGCCCGAAGTCTCATGCTTTCTAGGATGGTCTTCAACTCCTAACCTCAAATGATCCCTATCCTATCAGCTTTCTGGATAGTTTAAACTACACAAGTGTGCCACGACGCTCAGATCTACTTCATCTATTGTTGTGCCCAAGGTTAAGCCCAGAATCTTGTGAATGCCAGTAACCTTTCTGCCACCGAGCTACCTCCAGCCCTCCTAGGTCTGTTTTAATGGATTGTGAGGAAGCGCTGCCCCGACCCGATATGCTGAAATAGAAGGGTGTTGGGCCGTCTGGTCTCTCTGTCCCCACGGCTTTGACAGACTATGGCTCATGAGTAGCATAAAGGGGGAGGAAATGCGCTATTGTGCGTGTGTGAGAACCTGTGGAAGGCTGTCTGGGACCTTTGCCATCCTTGTGCAGGCCACTGCCTGCCTACTGCCTACGGTTTTAAGGGGCTCGATGACAAGAAAAAGACTCAAAGACTTCCAAAACTCTTCGTTTATGATAAGCTGAAGTCACAGCCCTGGGGGAAATGGAGGCAAGGAATGTGACAGTGGCCCTCACCTCTCAAACAACCAGAGACACCAGAGGCCAGCTCAGTCTGTACCATTAGCTCTCCTGACCCCACTCCCCCAGTATGTGCCCCATAATAATAATAATAAAACCAAGGGGGAGACATCAGAAGAGGGGAGAGCTGATGAGAATATTGGCGTAGCTAGGAGGCAAAGTGCTTGTCTAGTGTGCACTAGGCCCTGGGTTCAAAAACAAAGGGCGTGGGCCTCTGAGGCCAGTGGTATGATGAAGTTCAGAGTAAGGTCACCCAGCCTAAAAGACTCCAGGAGCTTATTCAGAAGAGGCAGGACCTGTCAGGCCTGAAGCGAGGGTAAGTCGTACACAGGGCAGAGATCAGCACTGTGCGAGCCTATGGCAGTGACTTTGGGGGGTTGGAACTTTCTTTCCTGTTTTTCCAGCTTTGGGAGGTAGGGTGGAGGGACAGGTAGGTAACTGTCATCTACACATCGGGGAAACTAATTACTGGACTGTGGGTCACCTATGACTTCTGGCTTTCCCGGAAAAGCATTGTGAAGGCCAATCATAGTCCCAGCACTCTGGAGCCTGAGGCAGAAGAATTGTCCTGAATTCCAAGTCAGCCAGAGATATGCTTTGAGATCCTATCTCAAGGAGAAAGGAGAGGGAATAGGGAAACCCCACTGAAGGGGGTTAGACGGGTATAGGAAGGGAAATTGCAAGTGGGCAGTGGTGGCACATGCCTTTAATCCCAGCACTCAGGAGGCAGAGGCAGGTGGATCTCTCAGTGACTTCAAGGCCAGCCTGGTCTACAAGAGCTAGTTCCAGGACAGGCTCCAAAGCTACAGAGAAACCCTGTCTCGAAAAACAAAAACAAAAACAAAAAAAGGAAGGGAAATTGCTGAGCCCAGGAGGGAGACTGAAACTGAGAACCATGTTGGAAGGGCAGGGAAAGAAAGACTTGGGGAGAGAGGACAAGAAGTAGGGCCGTCTTGAGCAGGTAGAAGACAGGACCCCAGTGACGGGACAGGATTCCTGGGCCTGCAACCAACGAATAGCTACTCGGTCACAGGAGGCCTCTTCTCTCTTTCAGGTGACTCCAGACTCTATCTTCTTCTAGGCTGGGTGACCTCACTCTGAACTCTCCAAACCATTACTCTTGCCATCTTTGCCCTGGGCCTCAGTCTCAGGAGAAGCTGACCAGCAGCTTTAAACTGTGCACAGAAAGGTCAGAACACACCTTTTGGTTTAGTTTTGTTTTGAGAGCAAGTCTTACCGTGTAATTCTGCTGCCCTGAACTCACTACATAGAAAAGTACACACACCCCAGCGGACAGGGTTTCCTTGCCTGGTCTGAACCTGGTTATGTAGCCCAGGCCTGGGACCTGTAGTGACCTTCCTGCTTTCCGCTGCCCAAGTGCTGGCATTACAGGTATAAACCAGCCCCTGACACTGGGGCAGAACTAACAAGTCTAAGACAGGGTTCTCGGCAAACCCAGGGGCCCTGTGGGGAGCTTAGTGGCTGCACGTGATGTCACCCTTGCACCCAAGCCTGTCAGGGGTGAGGTGCACCTGCTTGGCAGTGCTTGAACAGAAGCAGAGGAAGTGTCAAAGGGGCAATTTAGACACTTAGGAAGGGGAGTGTTATTTCCTGTGTTTGGGCTGAGAAATGACCTGAGGTTACCCCAGAGGTAATTGTTGGCACAAAGACCTGAATTTTGGCCCCGTGGAGAAAGCAGAAAGATGTCAATTGGTAACAGGAGTCACCGAGCAAGCTATCTGTGACACATGGGAGAGAGGCAAGGTGGAGGAGCACAGTGCAGGTGGTGGGCAGACTCTTCCTGTCACTGTCGAGTTTGCTGGCTGCAACGATCTTCCACATCCTCGGCTACAGGCTGGGGAGCATGACCCCCTTAGGCAAAGCAGGGGGGCCGCGTGGAGGGCTGATCATGAGCTAGCCTCCTGCCCACTTTACTCTTGGTTTTTACTTCCTGCCTGTAACAGAAAATAGCCCTGCCCCTCTCCCTTATCTCAGCCAAGAGCAGTACCCAGCCCAGCTCAGAGGGCAATGGAACAGGTTCCAGAGGTCCCGAGGAGGTAAGGAACAAGGGCCCCAGGTGTGCACATGGGATCCCAAAGACAGGGACGCCTCTGATTTGAGCAGCGTGAGGGTGGCAAGCATCGTGCCCCTGGTTCCTCTATGTTGACTGTGGTGTCTCTGGTGCTCCATGCCTACGGACTGAGATATTTTTTGCTTACATCTATATGAGCATGCATTTCGGAAGAAACCTGGCTCTCTGTGCTCGTTAAAGATTTTCCCTAAGGCAGGGGCCAGGACTCTTCTTTCTTCTCTGGCCCACGTGGCTCTGCGGTGTAGCCGCCTGTGCACAGACACTGATTTGGATGCTAATGTATGCATGCCTCGGTGTGTCTATGTGTGAGAATGTGTGTCGTGGTGAGTGTCTGTGTCACCAAGCTGTGTAGGCCTCTGTGGCCGCCTCCTAGCTGGAGAAATGAAACATCGCTCTTCCCTCTTTTTGGAGGTAACTGCTACTTAGATTTTTTTTCCATCCCTGCCCCCCAGCCTTGCCTCTTCTTCAAGGCAGAATTGGGGAGAGGGTCTGTGCTGCTTCTCCCCCTTCCCCCCCACACCTACACCCCTCTTTCCACACTCCTCTTTGGCAGTTTTCCCCATCTTTGCCATCTGGCCTGGCACTGGGCCCATACAGCTCTTGAGCCAGGAGCCTGGGCAGAGCTAAGGGAAGGAGGGGAACCGGGTAAGGGGCCAGGCAGGGGCCTTAGCAGTTTGGCCTTTCTGTCTGTTGGAAAGGAGCTTTTTCACAAAGAGTCTCGGCCATAAAGAAACCCAAGAACTTCTCTTTGGAATAGGGTAATGAGACCATTGCCGTTTCCTTTTTTTAAGGGATCCCTTTAAGTAGCAGTTCAAAGATTTGCTTTATAACTTGTTTTAACAGAGAGACTTGAAATTCCCAGAAAAGAATGTATTCCTGCACTCAGTATCTAGAATGTTCTTCCTAATTGTAGGAGTTCTTGATTTTACAAGTAAAATGGTAAGATTTGGGTTACAAAATGATAGTTCTTGCTGTTTTGGTTATAAACTGTTACTGAATTTTTGAGTTTTTTTTCATTTTTATTAATTTTGTAGTGATTTATTTTGTGTGCATTGTTGTTTTGCCCACATGTATGTCTGTATGAGGGTGTCAGATTCCCCCAGAACTGGAGTTATAGATAATTTTAGCTGCCGTGTGGGTGCTGAGAATTGAACCTTGATCCCCTGAAAAAGCGCCAGTGCACTTAACCACTAAGCCATCTCTCCAGCCCCACTAATTTTTTAGATGATATATATGGCCGTGTCTGTCTGTATGTGGGTATGTGCAGGTGCCTGAGGGGACCAGAGGTGTTGGAGTCCCTGGAGCTGGAGTTCCAGGTTGTGAGTCACCCAACAATGAGAGCTTGGAAGTAAACCCTGGTCCCCCACAAGAGCAGCACAAGCCCTCACCTGCCATCTCCCCAGGTCCCTCAATGAAACTGTAATGCAAGTGTTTTCCGTAAGGCCAGTGCAGAGAGCTAGTGTCCTGTGAGTCAATAAAGAGCGGAGGCAGAAGCGTGGTAAATGATTCGGTGGTTATAGAAACACCAAGAATAAGCTAATTGTTGGATGGAAACCATTTTCCTTCCAAGTGGCCAAAGGGATTCACTCAGGGAACCTAGGTGCAGCGCTGAAGTGTGTGTTTAAGAATGTGATCCCCACCCTAGGGCTTTGCCATCTAGTTGGGGAGGGGGGATAAATACACAGAACAACAGGTGGATTAAAAGCACTTAAAAGCAGCCAGCTAAAAGGCTTTTCTCTTTGGGAGACCAGGTGTCCCTTTTGGCTCAGGCTGGCCCTCGCTTCTGGGCTCCTCCTGTCTCAGCCTCCTGAGTAGCTGGGAGTTCAGAAATGTATCACTGCTCCTTGCTTAAGTGCTTCAGTACTCCGGGGAAGATTGTAAAGAGGCATATCTCTGTGTGTGTGTGAAAGAGATGGGTGTGTGCAGCCAGTGTGCTGAGAGGATTCAAAAGGAAGTGGGTTATTAAAACGAATGCCAATCGGACAAATGAGGAAATGATATGTTACCCATGGGCATAGATTTCATACGGGCAATTATAAAAGACCAAGTAGTCTATGCAGCACCCATCCACAAACCCTCCTTCATTCTTGTTGGGAGCTGCAATGTACGGTTTTGGACTTTGGAGCTGGGCGGTCCAAGATTTGGGTCTTGCCTTTATTCCTCGGAGACGAGCTTTTGTTTTCTTTCCTATAACAATGAAGACAAACACCCACCTCAAAGGACTGTGGGGAGGACTAGAGACACGTGCTTGGCCTGGCTCCTGGAGTGGCTGATTTCTTCCCGCTTCACCTGTGCTGGTGTAGATGCTGTGCTGGCAAAGATGTCAGCCTCCTCCCGAAGCCCCTCCTGCTCAGAGCCCAAGGACAGCGACTAAGAACTAGCTGTCACCGTGCATGTAAGAACAACTGAGGTATCTGTGAACCCCGAGTAACTCAAAGGAAGGGGCTTGGTCACAGCTGCCCTGCAGAGGAAGACAGAGCCAGGAAAGGGGTCACATGGCCTCGTGTAAAATGACCAGGTTCATCAGGTAGCAAAGGGGAGGAAGGACATTTCAGGTTAAAGAAATGCCAGCTGCTACAGCAGAGGCCTGCAAACACAATGTATGTGCAGAATTTGCTGACTCTCTGTAAGTGGGGCAGAGGTTTCTTTGCTGTTCAGCATGTTTACATCTGATTTGGTACTAGTATCAGTGTCTGTGGGGTACTAGTATCTCAGACCCCTTCAGCTGCCAACGTTTTTGGAGGCATAAATCCTACACATATTGTCCTATACACCTTAAAGTACCTGTCTCTAAGCCCAGGTCAGGTACTACATGCCTGTAACCCCAGCACTTGGGAGATGGAACTGGAGGAGCAGGAGTTCAAAGCCACCCTCGGCTACTTAGTCTTAGAGCAGTCCATGTCACCTGAGACCCTGTGTTCTCCCCTTCTTCCCCCAAACCACCTATCTTTAGGTTGCTTATAACCCATGTAATACAATATAAATAGATTTTTATTGTTGTTTTTGTTCCACTTTCTCTTTGAGTGTGAGTGTGCACTGAACCCTCCTCCATTTGTGTTTGCAAAAGGGAAAAGCGTTTCCCTATATATCCCATATATTATATATTATATATTATATAACCCTTATCTCATTTCCTTATCTCAGCCCAGTCTATTGTCCTGCCTCAGCCTCTAAAATTACAGGCCTGTGACCCACACCCTACTTTTAAAAAATGTTTAAAGAATATTTATTTTTATTTTGTATGAATAGATGTTTTGGCTGCATGTATGTCTGTGTACCACATGTGCACAGTGCCCATGGAAGCCAGAAAGGGTGTTTGATATCTTGAAACTGAAGTTACAGACGGTTGTGAGCTGCATGTGGGTACTGGGAATTGAACCCAGGTCCTCTTGAAAAGCACCAATTTTTTTAAAAAGATCTTTCTTTGTTGTTTTGTTTTTGACAGGGTCTCTCTACGTAGCTCAGGCTATCGTGAAACTTGCTGTGTAGACGGGACTGACCTTGAACTCATTGATGTAGGGTCTTCCTCTAGAGCCTAGGATGACCTTGAATCTGGGATCTTCCTACTCTCTGAGAGCTGTGAGCACCACCATCCCAGACCAGGGCTTCCATAATGCACTTTTTTGAGGGACTAATGACAAGGGAAAAGTCATATAAATATTCAAGACAGAAGCTTTTTTTTTTTTTCCTGAGATGAGGTCCTGCTGTGTTTCCACGGTTGTTTTTAACATCCTGTGTTCAAGTGGCAGTCCTGCCTCAGCATCCCTAGCAGCTAGATGTAATCTGTTTGGCTGATTTGAGACAAAGTCTCACTCGGTAACCTAAGCTGAACTCTTGGCAATCTTCCTAAACACTGGGATTAGGAGTGTGAGGAAGATAACCTTGAACTCTGTCCCTCCTGGCTCGGTCTTCCAAGCCTAGATTGCAGGTGAGCACCATCACACGTGGGTGTACTTAGAGTTTATAAGGCCCTGGGTTCCACCCCTTACAGCACTGGAAAAAATTCCATCACACGCCGCAGTATGGCTGGATGCATGGAAGGATGGCTGGAAGAATGAGCAGATCTTGGAAACAGGATGCTACGCGAAATAAGCCAGACACTGGGCAAACACTGTATCACTCCACTCCCGTGAGGTAACTAGAACAGACAATTCAGGGACATAAAGTAGAAAAGAGGGTACCAGAGACCGGGGAAGGGGTGAGGCAGGGAGTATTGCTTTGTGAGTATAGCACTGTTGGATATAATAAAAAAAAATCCGTTTCTGGAAATGATTTGTGGTTAAGACATATGTTAACGGCATGAAGTTATACTCTCTTTAAAATGATGTTAAGGGATAGCAGACGGCTCAGCAAGTACTCAGGGTACTTGCTGCTCTTCCAGAGGTCCCAACTTTTGCTCCCAGCACAACTAACTGTAAGTTCAGCACCAGGAGATCCTGAATTCTGGCCTCCTTGGTCACTGCACTCATATGCACGCCCCCACCACCACACAAATACACATAATTAAAGCAGTAATAACAAGGACTCGAAGAGCCAGGTGGTGCACGTCTTTAATCCTAGTACGTGAAAGGCAGAGAGGCAGGAGGATCTCTGTGAGTTTGAGGCCAGTTTGGTTTACATAGTGAGTTCCAGACCAGATGGGGTTAAAGAGAGATTCTGTCCCAGGACAGCCAGAGCTACGCAGAGAAATCCTGTATAAAACCAAACCAAACCTCAGAGAGATGGCTCAGAGGTTGAAAGCACTTGTCGCTCTTGCAGAGGACTGTGGTTTAGTTACCACCACCCACACGGCTGCTCACAGCCTCTGCCACTCCCCGTCTAAAGACCCTGATAAAGAAGTGCTGGTCTCCAAATGCACCGGGCACACACATGATGCACATCCACGCCTCCAAGCAAAGGGCTCATAATCATAAAATTAAAAAAATAACTATTTTTAGAGTCGGGTGCCGTGGGAGACACCTGCATTCCCAGCTGAGGCAGAACATTTCAACCCTGGAACTCAGGCCAGACGGCCTGGGCAGCAGAGTTAGATTGTGACTCCAGGAAGAGAAGTCAAATAAATTATAAAAAGTGAAACTGGAGCTAAGGATGGTAACCTTACGGTTACACCTGTAACCCTAGCACTTGGAAGGTTGGGGCAAGAGGCTCAAGAGTTCAAGGCCAGCCTTAACTTCACATCAAGTTTAATGCCAGCTTAGGCTACATGAGACCCTGTCTCAAAAAAAAAAAAAAGATAAAGATTAAGTTATATTTATTCTAACACACTCACACACCTGTGGATGAGGCAGGGATGGGGGTGGCTCCTGTGGCCTCTTGCATATGAGGGAGGTGGGGCCCTAAGACCCTGTCTTTCCCGTTATCTACCTCTTGGCTGTCTGTGGTGCACCAATTGGTTCTCTGGTAGGGAGTGTACCATGGCTTAGTAAGGAGGGCTCACAGTTCTTGGGGTTGCAGTTCTCAGTCTGTGGGTTGTGACTTCTTTGGGGGTAACATATCATATCCTGCATATCAGATATTTACATTCACAGCAGTAGCAAAATTACAGTTATCCAGTAGCAACAAAATAATGTGATGGTTGGGGGTCACCACAATATGAGGAACTGTATTAAAGGGTTGCAGCATTAGGAAGGCTGAGAACCACTGTCTTGGAGCCTTCCCCCACCTTTCTGAGGGGAATGCTAAAGTGCTCTTAATGTGCCTCTGACCGAGGCTGCTGGCAACTGCCTTGCACTACACCGGCACAATCTTATTCTCATTTTGTAGATGAAGAAATGCAGGGTTAGGCCAGTCAAACTGAATCCAGGTGGTCTCTCTGACCAAAGCCAGCCCACAAGGGAAAGGTGAATACAACTGGGAATGTGCTGGACTTGAGAGTCTGAACTTTATCCCCAGATAACAGGGCACCCCCCCCCCCCAGCCCATGGCCCAGAGGAAGTGTGCAGCAGCCCTTCTCCCATTGGTCAGACCTATTTGTGCTGTTGTTGGTAGTCTTCCTCTAATGGACTGTGAAGTAGGTGGGTGGGACAAGGCCTTTGTTTTGTTGCTCGCTGCTGGAGCAGGCTGGAACCTTCTAAGGATTCCGTAAACATTTAAGGGCAGGGGGAAAGGCAGGTTCTAAGAACAGCGATGGAAGCATTTTCATCTTACTTAATGTCCAAACAACGTCTTGAAGTAGAAGGCACTCAGACTCCTTCACATGCACCCAGATAGAGAAAATGAAATTCAGAGAGAATGGCATCTCTGGGGTCACAAAGCAAGGCAAGTGACAAAGCCAGCACTCAAGCATAGCCTGTCTGGGATCGGTGACTACAGGACCTGGGTAGGACACTGATGACAGAGGGGCGCTATAAAAAGTCATTCTGGCAGAAGAATGGAGAAGGTGGAGTGAAGAGCCCTGAGGCTGACTCAGGGGGGCCAGTCAGTGTTAGCTAAGCATTTAGAGGACGGTCTGCCTCTACTAACTTTATTTTTGCCTTGCCTTCCTCTTCCAGGTTTCCACTGCTGAAGTTGTGGCACCAAAGGCTTACAGCCTTGGCCAATCATCTGCCCCTGAGGTCATAGACTCCGCTCCCATGCCTTGCCTCTGCTTGCTTTGGGACAGACTCTGCACCAGGCTACCACCCTGGAGGTGAAAGCCATGCTTGTACCTTAGCATTCCCCATGATGCCTCAGCCCAGTTTCTCTTCCCACTTGGACACGATGTTTGCCAATTCTTCAGCCAATGCCTCTTCTACCAACAGCCCTGTGCCCCAGTGCCGTGACTATCGGGGTACACATCGTCTGCATATGGTGGTCTACAGCCTGGTGTTGGCGACTGGTCTCCCTCTCAACGCTCTGGCTCTGTGGGTCTTCCTGCGTGTGCTGCGCATAAACTCGGTGGTGAGCGTGTACATGTGTAACCTGGCAGCCAGCGACCTGCTCTTCACCCTGTCATTGCCCCTGCGCCTCTCCTACTATGCACGGCACCACTGGCCCTTCCCGGGCTTCCTGTGCCAGATGTCGGGCGCCATCTTCCAAATGAACATGTACGGCAGCTGTATATTTCTGATGCTCATCAACGTGGACCGCTACGCGGCCATCGTGCACCCGCTGCGACTGCGCCACCTGCGGCGGCCCCACGTGGCGCGGCGGGTCTGCCTAGGCGTCTGGGCGCTCATCCTGCTCTGCGCCGTGCCCGCCGCCCGTGTGCACAGCCCGTCCTCCTGCAGGTACCAGAACAGCACCGTGAGCCTGTGCTTTGAGAGTTTCAGCGATCAGCTGTGGAAGGGCGGACTGCTGCCGCTCCTGCTGCTGGCTGAGACCCTGGGTTTTCTGCTGCCCTTAGCGGCTGTCGTCTATTCGTCGGGCCGGGTCTTCTGGACGCTGGCGAGGCCCGACGCCACTCAAAGTCATCGGCGCCAGAAGACCGTGCGCCTCCTGCTGATCAACCTCGTCATCTTCCTGCTGTGCTTCGTACCCTACAACGCCACGCTGGCTGTGTATGGGTTGCTGCGAGCCAACCTGGTGGAATCCAGCCTTGAGGCCCGCGATCAGGTGCGCGGTGTGCTGATGGTAATGGTGCTGCTGGCCGGCGCCAACTGTGTGCTGGATCCGCTGGTGTACTACTTCAGTGCCGAGGGTTTCCGCAACACCCTTCGCAACCTGGGCACCGCGCTCCAAACGAGGCCTCTGTCTACCAATGGGGCTCGAGGGGCACTGACCGAACCACCCTCAGAAACCACCCAAAACACCGGGCAGGATGCCACCAGTCAGGGGTTACTTCAGCCTGGCAATCTGGAAACACACATTACCCAGAGCCCCCAGGATTCAGCCCTCTGAAAGGACACAATGTCACAGTGTACTCTTGGGCCTCCTTTAGGGTATATATTTCAGGGTGGTGGGCTGGGAACTTGGACTTTGAAGCAACTCCAGTCCTAGTGTGCAGAAGGAAATAAGTGTGTAAGCAAAGACAGGAAAGCAAGACTTTTGCTGGTGACAGCATTAGCTCTGGTTTTAAATCAGAGGAAGTCTGCTCCAGGAAGTAGGAAGCCATGTGGTGAGTATGCCCATGGCTAAGAGCTGGTACATGGAACAGAAGCTGGATCTCCTGGATTTAGGTCATCAGTCTGAGAACTGAAGATTCCCTCATCTTGGTGAATCAACTACACAGAAATTCATCCATCACTTTCAAATACAAAACTTAGGGTTGGTGGTAGAACCTAGAACCCACTGCCTGCACATGCTTGGCCACCTCATTCCCACTGAACCCCATCCCAGCCCCACCTGCTGCCTTCTGTGCTGACCTGAGGGCCATGGATGCCACACCACCTGCCCTCAAGTCCATTTGGCTTCCCTGCACAGGTGGAGGCAGAATACAAAGGTTTATCTGATATGCACTGACCTCTTTTGTGACCTGTAACAGTTTAGACTTGACACCCAATATGAGGTGGTGGGGGCAGAGCAGAGCTACGGGTTGAGTCCCTCTCAAATCCTGGTTCTTTGTCCCTTTCTTGTCACATTTTCTCCTTCTGCCATTCTCTGGGCCTTTTCCATTCTGTGTCTTTAATATTCAGCCTCATTTCCCTCCTTCTCCCGCCCCCCACATAGACTGTGCTGCTGACCTTGAACTTGGTACATAGTAGAGGCTGGCCTTGAATTCTTTTTTTTTCCTTTCAAGACTGGGTTCTCTCTGTTGCCCTGGCTATCCTGAAACTCAACCTGTAGACCGACATGGCCTTGAACTCACAGAGATCTGCTTGCCTCTGTCGCCGAAGTGCTGGATTTAAGTGTGTGCCACTAAAACTGGCTTTGGCCTTAATTTTTTTTTTTTGGTCTTTTCTATTCGTTTGTTTTTGTTTTTGAGACAGGGTATCTTTGTGTAGCACTGGCTGTCCTGGAACTCACTCTGCAGATCAGTCTGGCCTCAATCTCAGAGAGATCTGCCTGCCTCTGCATCCTTGGATTAAAGACATGCATCAACCACTGCCAGACTTGGCCTTAAACTCTTGATCCTTCTGCCTCAGCACTCAGGGCTGGGATTATATATTGTATACATATGTACACCATGCTCAGATGCAGTCAATATTTTATGGAATTTTTATTTGAGGAAGGCTCTCTCTACACAACCCCCACTCTGTTTCACCCGCTCCTCACTCATTCTCTCCATACCCTGTCCCCCTCCCTTCCCCTCCTCTTCCTTGCTCCTTCATCTTCCTTCCCTCTCTTCTTTTCTCCCCTCCCTCTCCTCTCCTCTCCTCTCCTCCTCGTATCTCTCCTTCTCTCCTCTCATTCCTCTCTCCCTCCTGAGTCTTAACATTTTTGCATTCAAGCATCAGTCTTCAAGCTGTTGGGTCTCCAATCCCTTTATGCAAACATTGAGAGACCTGAGAGCTTTTGTTTCTTCTTTTTTCTTATGTCTTTGAAACATGTTAGATGTGTTAAACAATACAGAGGCACACACTCCATTTAGCTAAGAGCAGTGATGTCATCACATTTCATAAAACTTCCAGAAGCTTCCGTATATACTGGGGCGAGAACGCGCATGAGAAGGTCAAGGGACGTGTTAGTATTGCGAGCACAGTTCTGACCTCAAGGACCTCCTCAGAAAGCTGGTCTCTGGGCACACTTTGACGTCGCTTGCTCTGAAGTATTAGAACTCACGTCTAACTTCCTCTAGGGTGTTGGGGTTTTGGGTTTTTTTTTGTTTTTTGTTTTTGTTTTTGTTTTTTTGACTCTGGGATGAGGGCATTGATCAGCTAATCGCTAATTGTGGTTCTTAAAAAGGTTGGGGTGGGGGTTGGAGGTTGGGTGTACAGCCAGACACACAAACGCAGGGCCAGGGTGGAGCATTCCTGAGGAAGGAAAAGACGTAGTGTTCGACAGGAGAGAAGACTGTACAAGGAAGTAAGGGGGCCGGGAACACAGCAGGAGGCCAGCAAAATGGTTCTCTTCCCTCTTTACCCAAGTAGCAGTTGGGTTGCTGGGAAGGTTGCAGAGTTGGCTCTGCGACAGTTTTAGACCCTGACATTGAGAGCTGTGGTCACCTATGTGTCCTATATGCACTATAACCCTGTGTCTCCCTCTACAGGGAGATTTCCCGAGTGCTTCTGTTTCAGTTACGATTTGGGCCTTTTGTGTCTTTACAAGGGCTTCGGCTGGTGATTTGCAGGGGTAAAATGACCTCTGGTGGCCAAACCAGGGAACTAACCTTGCTTCCTCAATGATAGGCTAGTATCAGTCCAGGTGGATGGAAGGCCCACCAGGCCCTTACCCCCAGCTGCTCTGCTGAGGCCTGCTGTTAACATCTGTCCCTCGCTCCTCAGGATTCAAGGACTGTGCTCTTCCTGAGAGGACATTATGAGCAGCATCAGCCCTGCTCGGCTAAATCTCGGAAACTGCTACCCAAACAGAGTTAAACAGAATCATCAAGTCTCGGGGGTAAGGGTGTGGAGTCTGTGGCTGTAGCTCTATTGGTAGAGTGTTTGTCTCTTGCCTTGCATGCACGAAGTTCCAGGCTTGAAACCCAGCACCACATAAATCTGGCCTGGTGTTGTATGCTTGTAATTCCAGTATCCAAGGAGTGGGGTCCTGGATGCACATCCCTATAATCCCAGCACTGAGGCAGCAGAGATGGGCACCTCTCTGTGAGTTTGGGACCAGCCTCATCTACATAAAGAGAGTTCCAGACTCTCTTTATGTAGTCAGGACTACATAAAGACCCTGTCTGAAAGGAAGGAAAGAAGAAAGAAAGAATGAAGTAAAGAAAGGAAGGAAGGAAGAAAGGAAGGAAGGAAGGAAGGAAGGAAGAAAGAGAAAGAAAGAAAGAAAGAAAGAAAGAAAGAAAGAAAGAAAGAAAGAAAGAAAGAAGCTCAGGAGTTCTAGGTTGCTCTCAGCTCTGGGATACATAAGACTGTCTCAAAACAAAAACAAAAACAAACACACAAAAACAACAAAGTTCCCAGATGCACTGTGGGGGGTCTATGCCTCTAATTCCAGAGCTCAGGTGGCAGGTAGACAGATCTCTGTGAGTTCAAGGCCAGAGTGGTCTACCTAGTCAGGCCAGCCAGAGCTATATAGTGAGACCCTCTTCTCAAAAAAGAAAAAAAGTAACTTCAGAGATCTGAGTCTGGTGTGCATGCCTATAACCCCAGCTCTGTGGATACCGAGATTGGAGAAGCATGCATTTGAGGCCAGCACCTGCAAGTCGCTAGGTATGATCTCTAGCACTATAAAGCTAAATCAAGAACAAATACATTAACAATATGAGTACTTTCATATTCAGGTACTGAGCAGACTCTAGAGTAATTAAAACAGCATGCATCACCCCACGGACCATGTAACTTATTTCAATGTTTGTATGCATTCTCGCTCTTCCTCCATTTCCCAGGTAGAATGTAAGCTCCCTGGCCGGGGAGCAAGGATTTGGTTGGTTGATTCATTGATGTATTCATTGGCATCTAGAACAGTGCCTGGTACAGAGGAAGCACTCAATAAAGACTCACTGAATGACCAGTCAGACCTTGTGACGTCCTTGGCCATCTACGGATGAGCAGTAACTATAATGGAAGACGGGAGATAAAGGAAAGCAGGGAAGGTACTGGCAGTTAACTGAGGGGAGCCCCTGAGAGGTGTCCAGGGAGGTTTGCTCACAGACATACTTTTTTCTTTGGTTTTTGTTTGTTTGTTTGTTTTTTGTTGTTGTTGTTGTTGTTTTTTTTGAGACAGATTTCTGCCTTTGGAGCCTGTCCTGGTACTCGCTCTGTAGCCCAGGCTGGCCCCTAACTCACAGAGATCTGTTTGCCTCTGCCTTCTGAGTGCTGGGATTAAAGGTGTGTGCCACCACCGCCCAGCATCACAAACATACTTGTAGGAGAGAATTGTGGGGAAATCAGGTAGGGAGACTAAAAAAGAGAGCGAGCTGTGGGAAGGGGTGCAGTATGGAGAAGTGTGGTCAGGCCCCTGGAAAAAGTAGACGGGAGCAGGATGTCTCTAGTCTGGAACCTATGGTGGCAGATCCAGAACTGTTCCCACACTTTTCACCACCGTGAGAACAGAGGCAAGACTAGACAAAAGAGGTATTGAGGCCAGGCGGTGGTGGTGCACGCCTTTAATCTCAGCGTTCAGGATGCAGAGGCAGGGGGATCTCTGCCAGTTTGAGGCCAGCCTGGTCTACAGAGAGGTCCCAGGACAAGACAGGGTAACACAGAGAAACCCTGTCTTGAAAAACAAAACAAAATAAAAAGGTATTGTAGGCAGAGGGAATGAACAGCATTGGATAAGTAACAGGCTGTGGAGATTTATGAAAGCCCAGGTCTCTGCCATTAGTGTCCCCATCCCCACCCCACTCCTAGCAGCACGCCCATGCTCTGGGCCTGCCCCATTTAACATCAAGGGGCATTCCAAGGAGAAAGAAGAGAAAAACTTCCCAGAAAATAAGAGCAATCGCCAGGTATGTTGGTACAGGCTTGTAATCTTAGCTACTCAGGAGGTTGAGGCAGGGGATCTTTTGTTCAAGGCCAGCCTGGGCAAGTGAGTGAGACTCTGTCTCAAAATAAACAGGGGGCTAATGATAGTTTTTTTTCCAAGCATGTGTAGTGTAAAAACTTGAGTCCAACCTCCAGTATGGAAAAAAGAAAGAATTAAAGGGTTGAAACAAAATATTCCTGCTCCCTCCCGCACAAAATAAACTGTTATTCCAATGGCAGAAGTGTCGTGACAGACACCTGAGGTTCCAAACTACTCTGGGACTTGTGGTAGGAGAATTTAGAATTCAGGCCAGCCTGAAAAATAAAGAAAAGATCCAAATCGGGCATTGGGGTGCAGGCCTTTAATCCCAGCATTCAAGAGGCAGAAGCAGGCGATCTCTGAGTTTGAGGCCAGTCTGGTCTACAGAGTGAGTTCCAGGACAGCTAGGCTACACAGAAAAACCCTGTCTTGAAAAACAAACAAGAAAAAAGGAAGGAAGGAAGAAAAGACCCTGTCTCTCAATAAATATATAAGCAAATAAATATTCTGTACACCGGGATGTTTATATATACTGCCTCTAATTTTTCTTTTTCTTTTCTTTTTTCTTTTGTTTTTTGAGACAAGATCCAAGATCTCTCTACTTAGCCCTGGCTGTCCTGGTACTCACTATGTGACCAGGCTGGCCTCTAACTCACAGAGATCCACCTGCCTCTGCCTCCGGAGAGCTGGGATTAAAGCTGAGCGCCACTGCACACCTGGCTTGCTTTTTGAGGCAGACTCTTGCCTGTCCCAGACTGTCTTTGAGCTCTCGACACTCCTGTCTCAGTTTCTGGAGAGTTAAGATCGCGTGTGCGCTCCACTGTGCTTTTCTTTTTTCAAGAAAGGGTTTTTCTTTGCAGTTGTCCTGGGACTCACTCTGTAGACC